CATAAGCTAAAGTTAAAAAAAAAATAAATTAAAAACAATAAAAAAGGACCTCTCATTGGCTCTGTATAAATCTTACTTCCTATGAAGGCTGGAAGCAACCATAATCATCCAGAAACTGGAATCTCCAAGTTCTCAGCCCCAGCTTTGATGGTAGCTTATGCACAACTAGATGCTTCACCTCTTCTGCTTAGATTTTTCCATCCAAGGAAGGGGGATAATTAGCAGCGACTTGCTACATAGCAGTGGCGTGAGACTTAATTAGTCAGAACACTTTGAAGGTATGGTACCTAATTAATATCTGAAGTGGCTGCAGTGATTATGATGAACAATGGCATAGCTCACAGTTGATGATACAGCTCAGCTCATCAGTATGTTTCATTCTCAAAAAGTGCTGTGCAAACATCCAGCCAATATTCCACATCAGAAATCTTCACAGTGGTGGGTGGTTATCAAGCTCGTTTTGTGGATGGAAAAATTGAAGCAAAGTCTGACAGAACCCAGCAACAATCACAAACCACAGAGCATGGCAACTTTACAAGGCGCTCGCACGGGAACTCCTCGCTTGCTGCCAGCATGGAACAGGGCAGAAGTTTCAGTCCCATCATAGCGCCCTGCAGGATTCTGGGTCTGTTTGGAAATGCTCTGTGCAGATGTTGAATTTAGTAGGATCCTGTGAGCAAGCATAAGGCTGGAGCTTTAAGGGTAGGAAAGAGCAAAGAGGATCTCAACTGTAGGGGCACACACACACACACACACACACACACACAAATAATGGGGGACACAATGAGTGAGCCAGGACAGCTCCAGGACCTACACAGCCCATACGGTCCCAGCTGAGTGGTGGGAGCAGTCATAGAATCAAAGAATCACAGAATGTATTGGGTTGAAGGGCTCTTCAAAGGTCATCTAGTCCAACCCCTCTGCAGTGAGCAGGGACATCTTCACTACAGCAGGTTGCTCAGAGCCCCATCAAGCCTGACCTTGAATATCTCCAGGGATGGGGCCTCCACAACCTCTCTGGGCAACCTCTTCCAATGATCCACCACCCTCATATTGAAGAACTTTCTCCTCATATCCAACCTAAATCAATTCTTTTCTATGGGTCACCATCAGCAGCTCCCTTGTTTTAGCAGCAGCAACCACCACCAGGTTGGCCCCATCCTTGGATCATGGAGATGAGCAAGCATTACTTTCAGCATAGAGGCCTCTGCACCTTCCCTTATCCCAGGTACCTGAGCTCTCCAAGGGTAACCACCCCCCGGACTCACATGAGCAAGGGGCATCTCCATTTCACCCGCTGTATGATGATAAATTACCAACTGCTGAGAGCACTTTGCGAAGTTAATTGGGAGCAGAAGTGTTGGTTTTAACCCTCATCTTTACTTCCCTTCTGTCCTGCCTTCAGGAGACCTGGGAATACATTTTAGGCACATTGCAAAATGCAGAGAGTAGATAAAATTAAAAAAATAATCTCCAGAGCCTTACATAAGTACTGCAGTTGAGATCCATAGGCTCTTCTCTCGCTGTGTCATGGAGCTGTCTCATCTTCCAACAGCTTCCTGGAGAGCAGAAGCAGCAAGCTGGAAAGACAAGGAAAGAGATTTCTTTTTTATTATTATTCTGCTAAAGGACTGACTCCATTTTCAGCTCCTTAATATCCCAAGAACTGCAGGGATTTGTGTTGACATGATTTTGAGCTGTATTTGTGGCAATATCCAAAGGATGAGAAACAAAATACACTGCTGTGGCAAAGCCAAGCAGAGCTAGTTTTGGAGCTCAGCCATTTCTGAGACAGTGGGACATATTGATATTAGCAATTTAACAGGACAGACTTGAGAAATAGAGGGCAGAGAAGAAGTCATCATACTGTTACATACACACTGGGCCAGTTTGCAGGTCTGTACATGGCCAGCATAGAAAGGCTGGAAAAAAAGAAGGGGAAAAAAAACCCCAAACAACTCACAATCTTTCAACAAGCAGCAGCCCAAAAGGATACCCGGGACCGATACTGATCTATCACTCAGGACATAAGGCACATAAAAGGGTCTCTTTGAAGGGGAAGGTCATTCTAGATGGGTGCAGAGGACATCTGTGTGTAAACTCTTTGGGTTGTCTACCTTCCTAGTAACTCCTCGTAAAATTTTTCACAGGCAAGTGTGTAAATCCCCAGAGGAAAATGAAAAACAAGAAACCCCGTTCACCCCTTTTAAACTTTGAGTACTGAATAGATAAAGTCCAGGTCTATTTTATAAATATTTCAAAGTTCAAAGAAAACAGCAACTAATATTGACACAACCCAACAGAAACATCCCAAAGGGACAAGGCTCTAAGGTTGCACGATACTCCAGTGCCACCAGCCGCGCAACAGAGGAAAGAGCAGCTAAGAACTGAGCTCAGCAGAGCCTGAGCTGCCTGGCAGCACTGGATGAGCCAACACCCCTGGAGCCAGTGGATCATACCTGGAGATTACAATGAATGTCAGATGAGGTCCTTAATTACCAAAGTGATAAATGTTATATATGATTAAGCTGCGAGAGAGATCAGGTACTTGGGTGAGCCCTTAGGAAAATACATGACAAATTGGTTCTCCCTTCACTCCCACGGGGACAGTAAACTCAGCCCAGACTTAAAAGTCATCTTTAAGAAAATTAACAATCACTGCCAGCAGGGAAAGTACATTTGTCTGCAGCTGAGAAGGCAGAGGAGCTCTCAGGACTCCTGCTGGCAGTCCTAAATATTTTCTATTTAGCATTAGTAGAGAGGTGGAGGTTGGTCTCTTCTCGCAAGTAAGAAGTGACAGGACAAGATGAAATGGCCTCAAGTTGAGCCAAGAGAGGTTTAGATTGATTATGAGGAAAAAATTCTTTACTGAAAGGGTCACCAAGAATTGGCACAGGCTGCCCAGAGAAGTGGTGGAGTCCCCATCCCTGGAGGTTTTTAAAAGATGAGTAAATGTGGTGCTTAGGGGGGCATGGTGGTGTTGGGTTGACGTTTGGACTTGATCATCTTAGAGGTCCTTTCCAACCTTAACGATTCTGTGATTCTGTGAAATCAAAGCTTTCTTTTTCCACCCCCCTCTCCACTATCACTGCGCGAGGAAACACAAGGAAGTCCCAGTAAGGATATAAAGTAAAATGCAATCAAAGTTCCTCTCTGCTCCTGCACAGAGGCTCACCTGGGCACGAGAACTGCTAGACACGAGCACCTCCTGGAGGAGATGTCCTCCTCTCCCCTCCTTCTCTCATATCCAACTCTCACTTACGGCACATACCTGGGCTTCCCTCTCACTTCGCAGGAAGCAGCAGAACCTAGAAATTCATAAGAGTCACCAGTTCCCTATTTCTGTGTGTCAGAGTCTACTCAGGTGAGGTTTTGAATCTGTTTAGACAACACTGTAGAAGTGTGACTCCTATTTACTATCAAAGTGAACAGAACTAAGATAATGAACAAAACTACTAAGATGAGGAAGGGGCTGGAGCACATTTCTTCTGAGGAGAGGCTGAGAGAGCTGGGGCTGTTCAGCCTGGAGAAGAGAAGACTGAGAGGGGATCTTATAAATATCTAAAGGGTGGGTGCCAAGTGGATGGGGCCAGACTCTTCTCAGTGGTGGCCAGTGATAGAACAAAGGGCAACAGGCACAAGCTGGAGGTTTCACTTAAACATGAGGAAAAACTTCTTTCCTGTGAGGGTGCCGGAGCCCTGGGACAAGCTGCCCAGAGAGGGTGTGGAGTCTCCATCTCTGGAGATCTTCAAAACCCACCTGGACGCCTTCCCGTGAAACCTGCTTTAGGTGACCCTGCTTTGGCAGGGGGGTTGGACCAGATGATCTCCAGAGGTTCCTTCCAATCCCCACCATTCTGTGATTCTGTAAAACCACTATGTATGAACTAAAGCTAGTAGGGATATTAAAACAAGATAAATTAAGTTAAAATAAGATATTTTGCTCAAGTTTTCTTTCTTCCTAGATTTTACTAAAAAAAAACCCCAAAAAACAACAAACTTTTAAAAACCCAGTGAAAGTTATAAACTTAGCCAAATACAGTTTCAAGGTTACCAAAATCTCATCTGAGCCTGTAAATAAAACAAAATTATAAACTCAGCTACCTGGGACTGCTTAGGTGTTGCAAACAGTATGAACAAAAAGAAAGATATAAAAAAAAAAATCCCCACACAGTATTTATGATAAAATTGTTATTTTTATTTCAAGGATGTTATTACAAAAACCCACTCACTGTGTTATACACTTAAATAAATAACAAGCCCTGCCATAAATCCCTCAACTCCACAGAGGGATCCCAACCTCCAAAGCACACTCCAGGCAAACCTCACCTGCAAAGGGACACTGATCACAGCCTGACCAGTATCACAGAAGGATTTGGGTTGAAGGGACCTTTTAAGGTCACCCAGTCCAACCCCTCTGCAGTGACAGGGACATCTGCAACCAGATCAGGTCGCTCAGAGCCCCATCCAGCCTGACCTTAAATGTTTCCAGGGATGGGGTTTCTAACACCTCTCTGGGCAATCCGTTGAGGATACAACTTCTGCAACAATCCAACTGACTTGTTCATAGCTCGTAAACCAGGTTGTATGTTTGCCAAGAGCATTTTATACAGAGACCATGAGGAGATACAGAACAAACAGTGCATCGCACAGGTAAACGGAAATGTTCCCTTTCCTTGAAGAGCTCCAAGGACCAAAAAAAGCCACGTTTTCTTTTCTTCCAGGGAATATTCTTGCTACACACAGAAAACACATATGTAGCAACTTCAAGAGCACTTTGGAGGGAGAGCAATCCCAGAATCCACAAGGCAGGTTTAAAACTGCCGCTGCATTTTGAGGATGGAAAGGAAAAAAAACATAAGACAGAGATTACTTGCCTCAAACTCCCCAGGGAGGTCAAGGTCTGGTCCCAATAGGGATTTCAGAATTCCTAGATCTGATTCTAAACAGCAAGCACCTCCTTGCCTATGAATTAATGAATGTGAGAGGCCATTTAGCAGTCACTGTTCCTGTTCGGAAGATTCCCTGCTCTTGTGATTTGAACCATTGGATTTAAAAAGCAAAAGACTTCTGTCCCAACTGGTATTCCCAAAGCAACACACCAGCTCCATGGCACAGTCCTTCGTTAAGATCTGGGTTATCCTCTCTGCCATATCCCCGTTGATAGCAAGAGATCGGAAGTGATCAAAGTCATTCCTGCCCAGTTTCCGCAGGCGGCGTGCGGCTGCCCTGTAGCATTTCCAGGGCTGAGGTTCAATCAGCAGGTACATGCAGAGAGAGGAGAGGAAGGACAGGAACTCCATCAGGCCACTATCCCCATGATTCAGGTGGATCCACATGGTCACAGACATGCAAAAAACAATGTCAAAGGTGGAACGGCCAAAACGGCCCAGGTAGGAGGTGAGGAATGGCTCCCTGGCACTGGAGTCCATGATGTCCAGGTTGACAAAGGATATGGAGGCAGGAAACGGGCTGCACTGCTGAGCCCTCTCAATCAACATTGGATCAATGTCACAGCAAAGAAGGTTCAGATCCTTTCCAGCTGCAGGCTGGTCCGGGCTGCTTTTGCTCTCCTGAAGGCCAAGGAGATGCCTGTACAGAGCCACACTTAATTCCTGCAGAAAGGAAAACAACAGGGGTTCACGGGGCCTGCACTGCTTCACTGACACATCACCAAGCATCTCAGCAGCAAGGTACAAGTGCCAACTCAGAGGTTTCTCTCCATGAAGAACACTACATTCACTGACAACCTTCCTTCCTGTAGCAAAAAGCATCTCACAGTAGCCTTGACCACCAGAAAGACAACCAGAGATGATTGGAACTAAACCTGTAGACCCCACACTTGGGGTTTTGCTCCAAAAAACTATGGAAAAGATGAGTTTTGGTAACAGGAATCTTGCTGGATATCCCCATCCAGTGTGGGGGTGAAGGCTTCACTGGCTGCCCTAGGTAAGCCTCTGAGTTCCCCAGTGACACTTAGAGCTATTTATAATTTAGAGTAAAACATCTCTTCTGCTGCTGCTAAAGTAAAAGCCATTCCCTGACCATGAGATTGTAGCCCAAGATAGTTAATGTGAGTGCTTTCCTTCGAACGTCCTTTCACAGACTGCACCACAAAGTGGCAAGAGTATTAATTTTGCATTAAAGGAGATCTGATGAAGTTCCTGAATGACATCAGCTATGAGCACGGAGCCCACAGGAGCGGGCAGGTGGTGTCCTCTAGTGGTGAAGGTCTCTCCATCTCAAAAGAACTGCACCAAGAACATCTTTACCTGACCTGTTTTACAAGTTCACCTGAAATTAGATCTAGAATTGTCCTGTAGATAATGCCTTAGGTGGCTTTTCAAACCCTCTAGCAGGGGGCTGGGGAAGAGAAGCCAGAGAAACAGCAGTACTCTTGTCCTCAGCCAGAATGCAATTTCATTCTGAATTAATCATTATTTTTAAGTTAGTATATTGATAAAGTTTCCATCTGGAAAAATGTAAAAAAAAAACAAAAAACCCCCACTTTAAACATAGTTAAATTAAACATTGCACCAGTATGCACCAGAGACACACAGATCCTGCTGGATTACAACACAGCAAAGCTGCACGCTGAGGAAAAGCCATGAGAAAAAAAAAAGCAGAACTAGGTAAAGAAAGAGAAGGATGTTTCAAAATGGGAAATTCTACAAGATTCACCAGCTCTGTCACAAGATCTTCAAGAGCATGTGAGCAGGATTTTAGTTTCAAGTTCTGGCTCATGGATAAATGATGTGATACATAATACACGACAAATTATGGTTTCTAGCTTCATGTTCCTCTGGTTCCCCTGCTCTTACAGCAGCTCTCCACTGCTTGGGACACACAGCAACCCAGGGCACTGCAGGCTTAAGCCTCAGTGGGAAAGAGGACAGACCCATGGACACAGCCTCTTAAACCAGAGCAACACAACCAGCTCCACCCCACCCCTGCTTTATAGAATCCCAGACTGGTTTGGGTTGGAAGGGACCTTCAAGCTCATCCAGTCCCAACCCCCCTGCCAGCA